GTCCCACACAACACCGTGCACCCTTCCACGCATCCACAAAGCTTCTCAGTGGTCGCTTTTCACGCAATCGCGTCAAGGACAAGCAGAGCCCAGAATTAAGCACCGAAGCAGCTGTAAGGGAGGGGGGTGGGGGGGCTGGTGGCGAACACACTGTCCTGTAGCAAATTGCTGCACAAGCTACACGTTATATCACACGGTGTGAAATAAACACCAGAGTCCGCAGTCGCGGTGACATTCAGGTGCTCCGTGTACAGTCCGCACACACGGCTCGTCCGACATTTTGCTCTGCGGGTGCGCTTCTTTCATTACCGGCCACGAGCCGGACTGAGAGCGATTTGTTACAGGAATAAACGCAGCACACGGAGCTTACCCGGGTCGCCATCTTCACGGTTGCGGTAGATCAGGGGCTCGCAGTTTGAGTCAGCGGCACACAGGACAGCAGGGACGGTCAGAGCGAAAGGAGCGACAGCAGATGGGCTTATAAGCTGCGGCGCACTCGGCTCTGATTGGCTGATTCGAGCGGAAGCGGAGGGAGACGTCACCCCACTCGTCTGGATCTTTGAGCAAAAGTGGGTCTACATTGATAAGAGTGGAATCCCGGTGGATAGCGTTTGCATATTTGGCACGTGCACAGATATTAGACAGTTTTTCCCCATTTTTCTAATAACAATAATGTGAACTCTCTAAATTGTGACTTTCAGTGCAGTAAGTGTCATCCTGCCTCCATTTATCGGCTTTTTATTTTTTGGTAAATGAAGCCAGAGCCTCAGATTTCTGCACGTCAGCACCACGGACAGCGCGCTGCCCCACACGCTGCTGAACTGCACCACTCCACGGCTGAACTAATTCAGCACCACGGACAGCAGCGATGTCCAGGCTGTATGTTTGTTTGATCCTGACAGCAGCTGAGACTTGCTAAAGCGTACAAAGTTAGAGCAGGAAGAAACAGGAAGCTGAAGAAAGTCTCAGGCAAACTGCAACGATGATCGGCTAACTTCTGTGTTTACATTAAAGAATCATATTGACACAACAGATAACACTCTAACATAAACTGGACATTAATGTAGGAGTGTTTTTAAATGATTATTTTTACTCTAATATTATTCCTGCAAGATCTCTTAGCTAACTAGCAACAGCACATTGAAACTTAAAACTTAAAAGCATACTTCTATTCTATTCTATTCTATTCTATCAAAAGTTGGGAAGTTGTGTAAAATGTAAATAAAAACAGAATACAGTGATTTGCAGATCTCAAAAACCCAAAATCTGATGACAGAAAGCAACATCTGCTCCCATCCAGTGACGCCTCTTTAAGGGAAGGCCTTGAATATTTCAGTAAGACAATGCTAAACCACACACTGCATCTATTATAGCAGCATGGAACAGCCTGCCTGCAATGCAGACTTTTCACCAACTCAAAATATTTGAAGTGTCATAAAACA